TGTGTGAATGTCTCAAACTTGAAATGTGGATTTGGATGAAAACTTCAAGGTCCAAAAGACACGGTAAACGTTTATTTCAGTAAAAACTGCAAACTGTTCAAAGGGCTTTAAACGATTTCAGACGATGAATAAGGGTCTTATCAAGCGAAACGATCGCTCATTTAATTAACAAATAACAAAGTTTTAGTTTTATAAGCTCAAATGCTCGCCTTGCTCTGTTCTGTGACGCACGTTTGTGACTCTCCTGTTCGAACTCGTTCATCAAAATGAACGAATCTTTTTCCGAGTCATTTGGTTCATTCAATGAACGAAACAAACAAATTGACTCGGAAAAAGATTGTGTGCATATGGAGAAAAATGCTGGAATGTTTTGGAACTTATGGCTGAGAATCAGTACCAATAATAAAACCTGTTTTGACCCAGTTCAGGGCCAGTTAAGGGTGATTAACTGGCTGAGATTCGGGCTAGTTATGGTCCATGTGTGACCCTTTTCTTTAATCCAGTTCTGGGCCACTTCAGGGCCGTCATTCTTTGCGGTACTTGGGCCGAGGGAAAAGTGATTGTGTGGGCCGGAGCTGGGCCAGAAAAAAAATTGCTATGTAGGAAGGCGGGAACTTCCAGGTTATAAAACCTGACAAAGGTTGACAGGGAGGACCAGCCAGCCGTCACACATATGTCGTGAATGGAAATTCCGCTAGGCCATGTGCATGAAGAGGCCACGCCTCTAGTGGAGTGAGCCCTGATGCCCAGAGGGCACTGCAGACCTTTTGCCGTGTAAACGGCTGCTATTGCGTCTATTATCCACCTAGACAGGCTTTGTTTCAAGGCAGCGAGACCTTTGGTGCGACCTCCATATGAAACGAAAAGCTGCTAAGAGCGCCTGAATGGGGCGGATCTCGTAATGTAAAATCTCAGATCCCTGACCGAGCAGAGGAGATTAACATCACTCTCACTATCGGATGCTGGCAAAGCCGATAGAGAAATGACCTGTGCTCAACGGGGTGCCGACCACTTTGGGAACATAGCCATGTCTAGGTTTGAGGATGACTTTTGAGTCATTTGGGCCAAACTCAAGACACGCAGCGCTAACAGATGTAAATGGTGTTTAAATCCCCCACCTGTTTGACTGATGACAAGGCAATCAGAAAAATGGTTTTATCATATAAATAAATAGTTAAAAAAAATCATATATTGTTTGTTTTTTAGATTATGTCTCTCACAGTGGACATGCACCTACGATGACAATTTCAGACCCCTCCATGATTTCTAAGTGGGAGAACTTGCAAAATAGCAGGGTGTTCAAATACTTATTTTCCTCACTGTAGATTGTTTTGGAAATATTTCTAGAGAAACCCAGTAGATTGCTAGCCAGTGCTCATTGTTACTCATCATACAAATCACACCACACAATGAAATATTTAATCGAATTTGCCCTTAATTCGTTTCATCTCCACTGGATGGGGAGGTCGCACACACAAAGAAACTTTATATCTCATTTGCTCCCAGAAGACGTAGTTTTAACAGACAGAGGTTTCCTGGTTAAAGAGTCCATTCAGAGATGCCAAGCTGAAGGAAAGATTCCAGCATTTACTCGTGGAAAGAAGCAGTTAGATCCTTTTGACTTGGAGAACACCAGATGTCTAGCCTCTCTTAGGATACACACACATTGAAAGAGTAATAGGAGTTCTCCGTCAAAAGTACAGTCTTGCAAAGCACTGTCCCTATAAGTTTTTCGGACATAGACAGAGAAAATGACGTGACCTACCTTGACAAGCTTGTGAGCATATGTTGTGCACTTACAAATACGTCTGAATCTGTGGTTCCAGTGATGGGGATGTACAGTAAAGTGAACTGATGTGACTGCTACAGATGCGCTCAACCAGGAAATAAACCTTTTTGACTCTCACTTCTTGCTTCCTTGTTGTGACATTACTTCTAAATAAATAATTAAATTAACTTCTAATTAAACCTTTGTGACCCTCATTACTTTTGATCATTTTGATCACTCGCTATTCGGATGCGATCACAGTCTGTTTCCAGATCGAGCTTCACATCCACCCGTTCTACCTGAGCTCCACCCAAGCAGATATTTGTTCTGGTGTGTTTGATATGATGGACCTACCCATGTTTCATATCCTTGATTGCTTCAGATACTTACTGTAATATTAATGATGGGGAAGAGAACAATATTGGTTTAACAACTGATTATTCATAAATAAAAGTGTACAGCATCAGCTATTACTATTTACTCATTTCACAGTCTCCTCGTTAAGGTTTTTTTTCTTTTTGGGGCATTCATTACTTTTCGGCAGCTGGGACATACCCACTGTTTTGGGACCCTTTTCATGCAAAGGAAGGTTTGGTGAAACTTTTTAACTGAACAAAAAGCTGATGCACAGACCAACATATTCCCTAGCTGCGTCTGTCACACGGCAGTAGCGCCACTGTTGTTGACTATGATCAGCAAATGCTGCTGGTTTTGGTGCTGAAAAACACTTGTCTAGCATCTCTGGAATGATACATTTTTTAAAGAAGTCACAAGCCCAATCAGGAGTCACACGTTCAACAAAAGGTGAAGTACTTCCTCTTCAGTCCACTGAATGAAATCACAATATGGTTTGTCAGTAACAAATAGCTGCATTTGCACTTGATAATAGTATGCAGTCTAATATATCCTTGCACATCTTTGTCAAGGCAAAAGTGTGCAACAGAATTTGCTGCCTCATTAACAGAAAGGTCCTTTACAGAAAATGGGCACTTCATTTCTATGACACCTGAACCCCAGCGGCTGCAGGACACATATCCATCAGGTGAGGCCCCAATAAATGAGTGCAGGGGTGAAATCCTGAATCCAGACATCCGTGTGTGAGAGGCGATGCTGCATTTCATAGTATTTTCTTGCCAATTCCTCGTGCTGATATCCCCATCTGAAGAAACAACAATAACATTAGTTTTGGACAATAGTAATGCCTCCTCCCTGCTCTTTCAAAATCGATTCTACTTGGTTTTACACTCCTGCTTTTTCAGAATAGGACTTCCTGGATTTACCCTCCCTGTTCTTGTACATACATCACATTCACTTGATTGTACACCATCTGGACATGACAATTTTATACACAGGAGCAGTTACACACATTTTACTCTAACCCTTCTGTGCTCATGAACAAACACCTGGTAGCCTTAATGATAAAACTATGTGACTTTGGGTGGCATATTTGTCTTATCAGAGACACTGCAGGCTTTCTGACGTCTGTCTTTGTGTCTGCTCTGAAGGAAGATCCTGTAACCATACCACTCCTTTGCTCAAACCAGATATTGGGCTTGAACTGGGTTCGGGTAGCCTGGCTAACATCAGACCCAAGTCTCATTGAGATTCATTCATTTTTTGTATTTGAGGCATGGTTTACGAATGCCCAGAGCCGTTTATTGGGTGCTAATAATGTTTATCAAATGCGCCTGTACGTAGCTCATTGCCAATCGTTTCAATTATACCAGATGACGTATGTAGGGCGACAAAAATTAGACAAGGAAGAATACGGTTCAGAGATTTATGTGCACACGATGGCGTGTATCTAACGGCCGTTTCACACCGCAAGCGTGAGTGGCGTGTATTTTTGTCGGTGTGCATGTTAATCAATGAGTGCATTCACACCAGAAGCGTGAGCAGCGCGTGAGCAGCAGTGAAATGAGGGTTTCGGCGTCCAATCTGTTTTTTCTGCACTGCTTACGCTCAATTAAAGTGAAAGCATACTTGATGGACAAAAAGAAATATGATTTCACACAAAAAGTGCCCAAAATGCACAGAATAAGCAGTCTAGTGAAAAAGAATACATTTTTATTAAATCATAAAACATAGAATCCAGAAAATATATTAAAAAACACACTTTAGGGGAAAAAAGAACCCTAAATTATAAGGCAGCTTACTCTGTGGAGTTTAATTGTGAACAAACAAATTATGATGATATTTTTGGCCATATCTCCAGCTCTATTATTGAGTCATGAATCATTTGTGTCCTAATACAAAACAAAAGGATTGAATGTATAATAAATACAAACCTCAGGATGTCAGTCATTTACAATATCCATCATCTTAGATAATAGTCCAGAAACAGGGAATATAGCAGATGCACTGTTGAAATGTCTATTTAAGAGGTTTTAAACAGGATTTAGAGATATATGTGGTATAATATCCCGCTCCAGTGCAGTAGGTGTCAGTGTGACACTGTTCAGCTGTTCCAAACCCTCCTGTAAAACACACGAAGAACAGCAAAACTAAAGGAACACCTGTCCACACCTAAACCCATAGATATACATAATAAAGGCTAGATGTCTCCTCCACTCTGCTGGCCAATGGGGGTCCACATCCGCACCTGGCGGCCATCTTGCCACAGTCAGCTCATAACATTGTGTTTTAATGGTGCATCTGCTTTCTAAATAACCATAACTTACTCAATTTTCTACCGATTTTCAAACGATTTTGTTTGTTATAAACGTCAGAGATGTAGTTATGACACTACATGCTTATGAATAATTATAACCATGGACTTCCAAATGAAAATAACATTGAATAAAACAGATAGGTGCAATAAATATACACGCACAAGGTATTTATGTTATTTATATTAAATCAATATACAGGGTACTAAAACTCTTTTACTAAAACTCACACGTTTTTAATATGAATATTACTATTATAATTAAAAAAAATAGAAAAATTACATATTTATTTTAACTTACTCAGGGTTGGTATGTTTTCTAGGCTCGATTGTGGTCTCAGCTGTGATAACTTGCTCAAGTAGCTGTGATAGATTTCAGCAAGATAAGACTTTTTTGTGTCCGTGCAGATTACTCACCTTACATCAGGAACCACAGAGCCCGCCAAAAAGCTTGCCTGTGACAAGATGGCCACCAGTGATGACGTTAGAGACGCCGCTGTAAGACATCTAGCGTTTATTGTATATCTATGCCTAAACCTGTCACTCACTGGATTTGATCTGATCTTTGATCCAGGAAACATGTCTACAGATGTCAATTTTGCACAATGCTTACCAAAATTTAATTTATGTGGCCATTTATGTGTTTAATCCACAATCCATCGAGACCAGCAAGAGATTCTGAGAACGACGTGCGCGGACTCACAAGCGTTAACTTACCGAGTTTAAAATACTGATAAATTCTCTTCTTAGTGGACAAGACTGCAAGTAAGTTTATTACATTCTCCATTACAGTCATTGGTAATTATTAGGAACTTCATATTGTATATTAAGCGAGATTTAAATGTGAAATTACAGAAGGCTGTTCTTTATTTGCTACTCAACTAAAGGTTTATGGAAAACAAATTTAAAAACAAGTTTTTGAATATTTTCTCCATTTTTTTTTCTTGTTAGGCTGTTGTTCTTGTGATGTGAAATCGATTGTATTTTCGATTGTATTTTTGAACCAGACATTTAGACAGACAGATGAAGCCTAACGTCAATCAACAACAATCTGCTGTTATTAAACTCAATATTTCAATTCATATATAACAATTGTGATTAGTAGTGTGTGTGTGTGTGTGTGTGTGTGTGTATCGAATTGTTGCCTACCAGTGGCAACGACAACTTTGATGCGATGACTTGTGATGATCACAGCTGAGAAACAACTTAAAATCATATTTTTTCTATTTAAAAAAAAAAATTATATTACAATATGTGTACTATTAGATGCTCACATGGAGAAAAGGGTTTCAAATGAGGCAAATTAGAGAAATTTTGTGGCCAAAAAAAGATAATTTCCATTTATAATGCCATGGTTTACACACTAGGTGCCTGTATGGCTCTTTAATAAATAAACATGTCTCTACTAGTCTAGTTACTCAAAAGAATATTACAGGTCATTACTGCTTACTTATTTTTAGATTTTGCATTTGAATAAATATTTAGACATGATCAAACACTAGATTTTTTAAATGATACATTTAAAAAGTTAATAATTAACAGTCAACTGCTCGCTATAGAGTTTCCTTTATTGTGTGTGTGTTCAAGAGAAGTGTGTTTGTTATATCTTATGCTTATATGATTCTAACATCTGGTTTCTTGTCTTTAGTGTGAGAATTTGAGTTTTTAGCTGTTACTTGTTCATTATATTAGTCTATAACTGCGTCATCTTCAGAAGTGATCTTCTGGAGCCAATCCAGACAACGTTTGTGTATCGTATTATGTTTAGATTACATTATTTAATCAGTATATAGTGTTGTTTCACGTGAATACCCTGTTCAGACAGTATTCTTATAATCAAACACAACAACACAGGGCAAGAAAGAGTCTTGAGACAAACAAGTTCTTTCTTAAATTGAACACAAAGTCCACACTTGAGGCGTAGGAACGACTCGCTAGTTATTAACTAACTCTGGACTTTGTTCCGCTGCAGCATTTGCTCTTAATGCAGAAAGTGGCTATAGGTCATATGCTATTTTCTAAAGAAACGGGGGCAATACATTTTTTTTCTTTTTTGTTTTGTTAATTGTTGTGGGTTCCCAATATTATTATTAACATCTATAATGATTATGATTAAGTTTTATTATTAGGATTTATGTTTTGGTTTTAATACAATTCACCGCACAGGCAAAAAATAAATAAATAAAAATGAAAATTGCACAATGAAATAGTTAATTATTGTTACGAACTGCTCCGAGACTGGGAGATGTAGATCCAAATGCAGCTTTATTTAAGATAGTCGTACAGGCAAGGTCAAGAATTAGCAGACAGGACAATGGAGGATACACAGTGGGAATCCGGGAAACAGGCAGAGGTCAGGGCAGGCAGCAATAATCAAAATCCAAAAAACAATCCAAAGTCAAAAACCAGAAACCAAACACGGAAAAAACGCTCAGAAATGCAGTGTAACACTTAAACAAGACTTCGCAAACACTGAACGTGAACACAAGGTATATATAGACACACTAACAGGATGAGACACAGGTGAATGCAATCAGTGAATGAGGTACAGGTGAATGAGATCAGTGATGAGTCCGGGCAGTGAGTTCTGGGAAATGTAGTTGTGAGGGAAACATGAACATCTGGTGTGGAGTGCCCTCTGGTGACTCTCAAGGGCACTCCACCTGGTGACCGTTACATAGCCCCCCCCCAAAGAGCGGCTTCCAGACGCTCCAAAAACAGTTCAGGAGGGAGGTGGAGCGGAGGCGGATCCGGGGGAGGGATGGAGGGCCAGGCCTGTGGAGCAGAATAGGACCTGGAGACTAGGACGGAAGACCAGGGTGGAGCAGGCTGTGCAGGCGGCCAGGGCGGAGCAGGCCGTGCAGGCGGCCAGGGCGGAGCAAGATGTGCAGGCGGCCAGGGCGGAGCAGGCGGCCAGGGCGGAGCAGGCGGCCAGGGCGGAGCAGGCGGCCAGGGCGGAGCAGGCGGCCAGGGCGGAGCAGGCTTTGAGGGCGGCCAAAGCGGTGGAGACCCCTCGGGCGGCCACGGCGGTGAAGACCCCTCGGGCGGCCACGGCGGCGAAGACCCCTCGGGCGGCCACGGCGGTGATGCCCTCTCAGGACCAGACACCGGCTCAGGAACAGACACTACATCAGAAATGGTCACAAGGATAGACACAGACACAGAAACAAACACTGGATCGGGGGCAGACACTGGATCGGCCATCTTGTCCGGAGACACTGGATCGGCCATCTTGTCCGGAGACACTGGGTCGGCCATCTTGTCCGGAGACACTGGGTCGGCCATCTTGTCCGGAGACACTGGGTCGGCCATCTTGTCCGGAGACACTGGGTCGGCCATCTTGTCCGGAGACACTGGGTCGGCCATCTTGTCCGGAGACACTGGGTCGGCCATCTTGTCCGGAGACACTGGGTCGGCCATCTTGTCCGGAGACACTGGGTCGGCCATCTTGTCCGGAGACACTGGGTCGGCCATCTTGTCCGGAGACACTGGGTCGGCCATCTTGTCCGGAGACACTGGCTTGGAGGCAGCCATCTTGTCCGGAGACACTGGCTTGGAGGCGGCCATCTTGTCCGGAGACACTGGCTTGGAGGCGGCCATCTTGTCCGGAGACACTGGCTTGGAGGCAGCCATCTTGTCCGGAGACACTGGCTTGGAGGCAGCCATCTTGTCCGGAGACACTGGCTTGGAGGCGGCCATCTTGTCCGGAGACACTGGCTTGGAGGCGGCCATCTTGTCCGGAGACACTGGCTTGGAGGCGGCCATCTTGTCCGGAGACACTGGCTTGGAGGCGGCCATCTTGTCTTTAGACACTGGCTTGGCAGAAGTGACGTGAAGCGTCTCTGGCTCGGCAGAAGTGACGTGGAGCGTCTCTGGCTCGGCAGAAGTGACGTGGAGCGTCTCTGGCTCGGCAGAAGTGACGTGGAGCGTCTCTGGCTCGGCAGAAGTGACGTGAACAATCTCTGAATTTGCAGAAGTACATTTAAGAGTCTCTGAGTCGGCCATCTTGTCCGTAGACACTGGCTCGGAGGCGGCCATCTTGTGCATAGACACTGGCTCGGCAGAAGGAACGTGAACAGTCTCTGAAACGGCCAACTTGTCCATAGACACTGGCTCGGCAGAAGTGACGTGAAGCGTCTCTGTCTCGGCAGAAGTGACGTGAACAGGCTCAGACTCGGCAGGGCTGACATGGAACTCTGGCTGGGCTTTCTCGGCGGGACGAGACTCTGGCTGGGCTGTCTCGGCGGGACGAGACTCTGGCTGGGCTGTCTCGGCGGGACGAGACTCTGGCTGGGCTGTCTCGGCGGGACGAGACTCTGGCTGGGCTGTCTCGGCGGGACGAGACTCTGGCTGGGCTGTCTCGGCGGGGCGAGACTCTGGCTGGGCTGTCTCGGCGGGACGAGACTCTGGTTTGACGGTCTCTGGCTGTACGGTCTCTGGCTGGAAGGTGAGCGGGGGCTCGGCAGGGCTGACGGTGAGCGCGGGCTCGGCAGGGCTGACTGTGAGCGCGGGCTGTGGAAGCTCTGCTGAGACGTGACGAGGCTCTGGAAGCTCTGCTGAGACGTGATGAGGCTTTGGAATGAAACTCTCTTCACAAACGGAGACCGCCTCTCTCCAGTTCAGACCCGAGAGATTGGGGAGCTCCCTGGTTGACCTCCTTAGCCCCTAGCTGGTAACACAGCTTAATAGCCTCATCACCGAGAGAGCAGGAGGCAGCGAGAGGAACAAACCCCCAGGTATACTGGAACAGATCACGGCTATCCAGGGCCAAGGCCGCGATCTGACCAGCAAACTCCCGGATTTGTGCTGCTGGATTCATTTGTTGATCGGTTGTTGCTGGATCTCGGTGTGGCGAAGTCTTCTGTTACGAACTGCTCCGAGACTGGGAGATGTAGATCCAAATGCAGCTTTATTTAAGATAGTCGTACAGGCAAGGTCAAGAATTAGCAGACAGGACAATGGAGGATACACAGTGGGAATCCGGGAAACAGGCAGAGGTCAGGGCAGGCAGCAATAATCAAAATCCAAAAACCAATCCAAAGTCAAAAACCAGAAACCAAACACGGAAAACGCTCAGAAATGCAGTGTAACACTTAAACAAGACTTCGCAAACACTGAACGTGAACACAAGGTATATATAGACACACTAACAGGATGAGACACGGGTGAATGCAATCAGTGAATGAGGTACAGGTGAATGAGATCAGTGATGAGTCCGGGCAGTGAGTTCTGGGAAATGTAGTTGTGAGGGAAACATGAACATCTGGTGTGGAGTGCCCTCTGGTGACTCTCAAGGGCACTCCACCTGGTGACCGTTACAATTATCAATTATAGCAAGCAGTTCAAAACAATGTTATAAAATTATGACTTTAATAAAACACATTACGAGAATAATATAACATAAATAAATTATAAATACAACTATTTACCAAATATTTTATAATTGCATTTACCGTTAATATTTTAATTTTTACAAGTTGTTTATACAAAAATTACAACTTTTAAACTTCAAATGTTCAAATGTTACGTTTGTGCTTGAAGATGACTCTTAATATCCATAAATGGGCATGTTATTTTACATTATAAGCTTTTTATGTGTATTCTGCATATTTTTATATTTAGTTAGATGTGTTGAAATTACTGTGTTTTGCAGAACTTTTGTGGACGTTTAAAATGTGAGGCGCTGTTATAAAGCACATAAATGACCCTCGATCACAAAATCAGTCACGAGTCGCAACGGTGGCAATAGCCAACAATACATTGTATTGGTCAAAAAAATAGATATTTCTTTTATGCCAAAAATCCTTAGGATATTAAGTAGATCATGTTCCATGATGATATTTTTCTGATATATTTTTTTGATAAGTTTCCTACCGCAAAAATAAAACATAATACATTTTTGTGAGTGAATGCAGGAAAATTGCGAACATAAAATCACAACTTTAAAGGAGATTTTCTCAATTTCTCTTTTTTTTTTGCAACCTCAGATTCCAGATTTTCAAATAGTCGTATCTCTATCAAATATTGTCCTATCCTAACAAACCATACATATTTATAGCTTATTTATTCAGCTTTCATATGATGTATAAATTGACCCATGTGACTGGTTTTGTGGTCCAGGGTCACATATAAACAGTGTTACTTAAAATTACACTTAAAGGGTTAGTTCACCCAAAAATGAAAATTAAGTCATTAATTACTCACCCCCATGCTGTACCAACCCCGTAAGACCTTCGTTCATCTTCAGGACACAAATAAAGATATTTTTGATTGAATCTGAGAGCTGGATCAGTCCTACATAGACTGCCTAAGGGACTGGCTCTTGACGGCCCAGAAAGTCATTAAAGAAAATGTTTAAATATTCCATGTGCCTACAGCGGCTCAATTATAAGTTTATCAAGCGACGAGACTACTTTTTGTGCGAAAAAAACATAAATAACGACTTTATTCGACTATTCTATTACTTCCTTATGGGCACATGCGCGAGAACTGAGACGAGGACGTTCTCATTCGTCTACTTCTTGTTACCGGCTGCTCCGCTTAGGAGTATTACCGGCACCTACCGAATAAAATGATGATCCATATATAAGGCGCTCTGGATTATAAGGAACACTGTCGTTTTTTGAGAAGATTAAAGGCTTTAAAGTGCACCTTGTAGTGCAGAAAATACGCTAATTGAAAAGCGTATGTACAGCGCGCATCTTCCTCTGCTTGTAAACAGAAAGTTTTGCACTTCCAGCTATATCAGCACATCATCTTATACGGTAGGGGGCGGTAAAACTCCTAAGCGGAGCAGCCGGTAACAAAAAGTAGTCGAAGGAGATCGTCCTCGTCTCAGTTCTCGCCCATGCGCCCATAAGGAAGTAATAGAATAGTCGAATAATGTCGTTATTTATGTTTTTTTTTCGCACAAAAAGTAGTCTCGTCGCTTGATAAACTTATAATTGAGCCGCTGTAGGCACATGGAATATTTAAACCTTTTCTTTAATGACTTTATGGGCCGTCAAGAGCCAGTCCCTTGTGCAGTCTATGGAAGAGTGATCCAGCCCTCAGATTCAATCAAAAATATCTTTATTTGTGTTCCGAAGATGAACGAAGGTCTTACGGGGTTGGTACAGCATGGGGGTGAGTAATTAATGACTTAATTTTCATTTTTGGGTGAACTAACCCTTTAAATGGGTAGTGTGTTAATACCTTGGAAGCTTTTTGAGCTTTAAATAAAATAATAATTTCATTCTAAATATTGTATTATAACGTTGTTTAATGTAAAAAATACTTTTACTTATCAGTTATTTTAGGATCATTTGAAAGTAATGATTCAACAATCATTGTGAACTTGAAGTAATGATTAAATGACAAACGATTCAACAATTAATAAAGATTGGGTAAATGTGATTATAAAATTATATTATACTGTAATAGAGAATATAACAAATTGGGTTCACAGTTTTCCAGCACAGTGTACATTTCTGTTCCCCAATGAATTCATATTTAGAGTCAGTAAAACTCATTAAAAAAATCAGAAATGATTAAAACCATTCAGTTACTTTCCATGGCAATATATTTGTTTGTAACTCACTTTATTTGATAGATTGTTTTTGCTGTTGCTGTTGTTGATGATAAGTCTTTATTCTTCAATAAGATGTTGTTGATGTGTGTAAATGTTGTGATTTGCAGGTGATGCTGAAGGATTGAGTGTTTTCTGATCAGTTTTCAGGGTCAGTTTAGCTGCAGTATGTCAGAGGAAAGAGGAAAGGACTCTCTCTCTCAGATGAGTCTCTCAGAGAAACACAGGTGAGACTGCATCTGTTTTCACACTCTCACTTTAAACTCCACTGGACTTTGTGTTTCCCTGTCAATAACACAACTTTAAACATTGCTCTATATTTGCAAATGCTTTGACCAACTTCAATTTTAAACTTCTTAAATTAACAATGACATTGTCTATAAAGCCCTGTTTGCTTTATAGAAAATATCACAGTTTGTTAATAACCTTCTAGACGCTAAATTAATCCAGATAAATGACTTTAGTTTAAGATCATAAAATTATTGATTGACATTAGAAAACAACTATACACTTAATTTAATTCAAGTATGATAACAAAACTGTGTCGCACATTTCTGCTCTTTATTCTGTCAATAAATAAAAACGTGAAATGTTCTCTTAAATTATGGTCAAGTATCTTTTAAATTCTCAACATATTTAATCTCACTCATGTATATTAAAGAAATTGTTAAACTAATGTGAGCCAGTAAATAAAATGATGGTTAACTATAAAACTGTAAATTGTGTGTGTGTGTGTGTGTGTGTGTGTGTGTGTGTGTGTGTGTGTGTGTGTGTGTGTTTCTGTGGAGGATAAGATGAAGACACAGATGTGTTTCAGACACAGTTGATCCTCCTTTACTAAAGTGTTTTCTCTCTCTCTCTGTTCTTTGTGTCATCAGTGTAAGATCAGGCTCACATGTGTCCAGCTCTGTGTCTCTGAAGAGTGATCGCTCTAATGATCTTCCACCAGACTTCAGTGAGAAAACACCATCATCTAATAAAAGGTATGTGTGTGTTCAGAGCCGGATTAAAGAAAAGGACTACACTAGGCAGACTGCATTTTTTGGGCCCCCCTCTATCTATGTTATTTATGAATTGAAATCTGAAACTTTCAAAAGTTACTAATTAAAGAAGCTTTTACATAGCCTAGTCTTTGGTTACAAATTGGTTGTTTGTATGCCAAAATAAGTCATGTGTTGTATATTAAACAGTCTATCAGTCTACTATTTTCTGATATTCATTATTCATACGTACACGGAGCTATATTAAATGCTATTAAATTATCCTCATCTTATCCATTGGGAGTGTCATTGTTAAGGCAGTAGAACCAGTAAATAACCAATAGGTGTCAGTAAACTATGTAAACCTGTTTTCATTTAATCAACACATTTAAGATTTTCAGCAAAATACAATAGCTTACATTTATAACTGTTGTAATTAATAGCAAACATGAAGGCAAACATGACCCCTTCACATTCATCAAGACCAGTTAGAAACTGTCTAACAATAAATAATAATAAATATAAGGCCGAAGATTTAAACTATGGAAAACTAAAGGTATTTAGACTATTAAAGACTTGTGTATGGATGAAATACTTCTTACATTCAAGAATTGTGTGACAAACACCAGATTCCCTCAACTTTTTTTTTTCAAATATTCACAGCCTAAAAGTTTTATGTCTTCCGGGTCTACAGATATTATGTACATTCCCAAACTGTCAGGAAATAATTGGAAAAACAGGTGAAAAGGGCCATTTGTCAAATTATTATTTATCTAAAGAGTCTGCTGTAGACAAATTAAACACATGGAGGAAAGACATTCAAGACAAGAAGAAATAGGGGAATTTGAATGGACTGAAGTAGGCGCAAAAACAAATCATAAACACGCAGATTAAATTATTACAGTATGGTGACAAAGGTTTATATAACACCTGAAAAACTCAATCATATGTCTAGCAATATTCCTGATATATATACAAAATGCCAAAATAATAAAGGAACTGTAACTGTCTATGGGAATGTTCTGATATACACAAGTTCTGGAAGGATGTCATAAACTGTTTGTCAGATTTTTAATTTGAGGGGGGAGTCTAGACTCTTTTTTTATTTATTATTATTACATTTATCTCCTAAAATGAATGATCATTCATTGCATTTTTACAATGGGGTAATTTTGTTCTTAAGAATTTACACAACACAAGGAAGCTTGATTTCAATCTTTGAATAAAATTGAAAAAATAGAATATAGATAGCCTACATATAAAGAGAAAAGTTATTGCTGAGGTCTGACACCAGTTTTCAGAAATAGTCCTACAGAGACTGAATAAAGTAATCAAATGTAAAATAACACTGGGTAGTGTTTTAGTCCTGAGAACTAAATTAAATACATAGTATATTAATTCCTGATTCCTTAAAATGAAAGCCATGTTTTGTTGAATTTGACAACCAGATTAATGACAGACCATGGCTGCTGTCACTGAAGAGCTTGTGCACAGATCCTGTAGCCACTAACATAATGTCACGTCGATGTATGCTTATTTAAAACAAGATGTTTAGAGGATACACACCAGTCACCAAGACTGAAATATACATAATTGTCGCATGTTTTTGGCTGTTAACGTGATATAATCCACGAAAATAACTGTTGTTACCCGTGAGCGTGTGAGGCGGCTTGTGTGTGTGCAGAAAAAAACATCTCTCAGACAGCGCGCAAGTCTACCAAATAGTTCAAGATCGCCTGAATGTTTAAACTGGTAAGACTTAAGACGTGCAAAATGGTAAACTGTTGTTACTCATGATGCAATGCTGGCCCATGCAAATAACAATTCTGTCTATCCCGACTCCGAAACGCGATTGCCGCCTGAACGAGATGGGACATTTGTTTGATCAGCCAAACTCACATAAGAATATATATGGTTTAATCTGAACAACTATCATAAAGTTTTATACATATGTTTAGTATTAGTTGAAATGTCTCAGTGTGAATGGTACAAGTGTTCTATTTCCAAATTAGTAAAAGAAAAGGTAATACGGTTTTTAAGAGTTTAGGAATAACTGGCACACAAAGGAATGTGGTCTCGACTTCCAAAAGGTGAAAGCAAAACTTGTGAATGCTAATTTCCACTGTTCCTTTTCAAATGGTCAGCCCAGTAATTTCTACCCCCAGTAAATCTGGCCGATGCTTCACATGTGTGCAGAGGGAGAGATGGTCACACACACACACACACTCATGTCTGACCGCAGTAACTTTCCCACTGTAAACTCATGTTCTACATATCAAAGGAGGTCTGGATATATAAAGAAATGCAACGGAGAGCTCAGGGCTCTTTTCTGTACTCAGATTAGCCCGTGTGGTTGAGGGTCTCGTGACTCATCTCACGTAGCATACAATGTTGGGTTCACATCTTTTCCTCTTATTCTGGACCATTTGATTATTTGGATTGATGATCTTTGAACTGATTGTGAAATTGACATTATACATTTACCTGACATATTAAATTGTTATATTTGATTATTCTAACAGATTTTGACTTTATTTTCATTAGAGTTAAAAGGAATAGTCAAACATTAACATGTATTTAATGATGCACAGATATCATTGAAAAACCTTTTCATTTTATGGAGTCAGATGAAGCGAGTTAATACATAAGATAAAATGTATTGCATTTAATAAAAAATCCCTTTGCCATGGGAAGAGACGAACACGGATGAAACCTTCACCTCTAATCGAATACCGCCATTGGATCGATTTAGCAGGCCTTACAAACCGTAGTTATGAATTAACAAATGCACAGCTATACTGCATTTAATTACTATTTGCAATATTAAACCTTTTCAAATTTTCTTTGTGTCATCAGTGTAAGATCAGACTCACATGTGTCCAGCTCTGTGTCTCTGAAGAGTGATCGGTCTAAAGATGATCCACCATTCTTCAGTGAGAAAACACCATCATCTAATAAAAGGTATTTTGTGTTACTCATTTTGACTCTTTAAAAGTTATATCAGTGAATACCAATCATGAAACATGTTTAGGTGAAATATTTGTCAGAGTATTCACAGCTGATGCTTATTTCTCTTTCTGTAAAATATCAGTATTTTATTTTACTAATGTGATTACAGGCTTCAATATGAGACATTAGACTCAGATATTCAGACTCACAGGAACCACGAGAATTTCAAAGACAATCTTCTTGGGATCTTCCAGGTAGGAAAAAAACATTTTTATAAATGTTTAATATTTATAACAAACAAATATGTTATTGAACAAAGAAATTTAATTAATCTTTTTTTTCCCTTTTAAACACATTTTGGCACAACTTGGTTAACATGTTATTCTTTTAACTGGATTTTTTATATACATGGATCATAATTATTGAATAAATTGTTGATACCAAATGTAGATTTGGCAATTTGGCTTAAATTGTGTATTCTGCCTTTTCTTTTACTTTTGTTTGTAGGATCTTGAGAGGAAAATAATCACATTTCTGAAGAATGAACTGGAGAAGTTAAAGAAAATACTACAACATGAGAACACACAACACTTTGTGAAGGACTTTAATGAGAACAGATCCAGTATCAGAGAAGCAGCTCTTGATCTTACACTACATTACCTGAGAGAGATGAAGCAAGATGAAGCTGCTGATGCTCTAGAAGGCAAGAGACTCGTCATCATCTGTCTGATTGTCTCTTATAAATGTAGGAGAGAAAATGAAGACTAAAACTATCTATTTTCTGTTCCTGTGTTTAGATGAGCTGTTCTTCATTCATCAGCTGAAATGTGGCCTAAAGAAGAAGTATCAATGTGTGTTTGAAGGAATGGTGAAGCAAGGTGACGCCACACTCCTGAATAACATCTACACAGATCTCTACATCACTCAGGGTGGCAGTGAACAGGTCAATACTGAACATGAGGTGAGACAGATTGAAGTTGCTTCCAGACGTCATGAAGCACAAGAGATACAGGTTGAATGCACACATTTGTTTGAAGCGCCTGAACAAGACGAGGAGATCCGAACTGTACTGACAAAAGGAGTCGCTGGCATCGGGAAATCAGTCTCTGTGCAAAAGTTTGTTCTGGACTGGGCTGAAGGAAAAGAAAATCAAGATATCAGCTTCATATTTCCTCTTCCATTCAGAGAGATGAACTTAAAGGAGAAAGAAAAACTAAGTTTGATGGACCTTATAACTCAGTTTTTCCCAGAGACAAAAGGACTGAACCTTACAAGAAGGAATCAGTTCAAAGTGCTGTTCATCCTTGATGGACTGGACGAATGTCGCCTTCCTCTGAAGTTTGATTGTAATGAGACGTGGCGTGATGTATCGTCACCAGCCTCTCTGGATGTTCTCCTAACGAACCTCATGAAGGGAAATCTGCTTCCTTCTGCTCTCGTCTGGATCACCAGCAGACCAGCAGCGGCCAGTAAGATTCCTCCTGACTGTATCGACCGGCTGACAGAGATACGAGGATTCAGCGACGCACAAAAGCAAGAGTACTTCAAAAAAAGATTCAAGGATGATATTCAAGCCAACACAATCATAGATCATGTTAAACAATCAAAGAGTCTCTTTATCATGTGCCACATCCCAGTCTTCTGCTGGATTTCAGCCACTGTTCTCCACAACATTCTGGAGGAGAAGAGAAATAATGATGTGAGAAACACTCAGGCTGATGAGATCTCTAAAACACTGCAGGAATCAAACACTGAAGACACTCCCAAGACTCTGACACAAATGTACACACACTTTCTCCGCTTTCAGATCCAGCAGAGCCGCTGGAAATATGATGGAGAATACACACCAGATGTTTCCTGGGATAAAGACGCCATCCTTTCACTGGGGAAACTGGCATTTCATCAGCTGGAAAGAAACAACCTGATCTTCTATGACACAGACCTGGAAGCCTGTGGTCTTGACGTCTATAAGGCATCAGTGTACTCAGGCATGTGTACCCAGATCTTTAAGGAGGAAACAGGGATCGTTCTTGGTACCATGTACTGCTTTGTTCACTTGAGCATTCAAGAGTTTATTGCAGCCCTTTATGCACATCTGTTTCTAGACATCAACAAGACAAGTGTGTTTGATCATGAGTCTACAGAACAGAAAAACAGAAATGAAACCATGATTGATTTTCTCAAGACTGCAGTGGACAAGGCGCTGGAGAGTGACAATGGACACCTGGACCTTTTCCTTCGATTCCTCCTCGGTCTGTCACTCCAGTCCAATCGACGACTCTTACGAGGTCTGTTGACACAGCGAGACGACACTGACCAGAGCAACAAGGGGATAGTTCAGTACATCAAGCAGAAATTAGAAGCTAATCTTCCTGCAGAGAGATCCATCAATCTGTTCTACTGTCTGAATGAACTGAACGACCAAACTCTGGTGAACGAGATTCAGACCCACCTTAGCAAAGGAAGTCTCTCATCTGGTGACCTTTCACCTGCCCAGTGGTCTGCTTTAGTCTTTGTGTTGTTGACATCAGAGGAAGAACTGGAGGAGTTTGAGCTTCAGAAATTCAAGAAATCAGACGAGTGTCTCATTAGATTATCGGCAGTCATTAAAGCCTCCAGAAGAGCTCTGTAAGTCTTTTATATTTTGTCATGTTTTACATGTTTGTCATCTGAAAAATGCATTTATCTCTATATATTGATTCCCCATCATAAACATGAAGCTATACCTGCGTGTGTGTGTGTGTGTGTGTGTCTGTGTGTGTGTGTGCGTGTGTGTGTGTGTGTGTGTGTGTGTGTGTGTGTGTAGACACACACACACACACAATCACAATCTAAGACAAAATATTAAATATCTTGTAAAAATATTTGCATGATTGTTTTGTATCATATGATACACCAGACTTGTATGACTTGTTATATAGAATTATATTATCACATACTCATACTTGAGGTAGAAAAAAAATCCATATTTTATTCATATACCCAAACTGAGGGGAAATAATGTAATTTGGTACAGAATAGATGTTATTTATATTGCCAAAACGTAATATGAAATTTTGAAAGGTTAAAACATTGAGATTTTTATAAAACAGGCTACTAAAATAAAATACATATATCTCCACATCATATACTAGTTGTCCCTCAGTTTCTCCCAGTAATTATATATTTAAATGCTTAATTCTATGAGTACTTCTGTAGTTTAAAGGGTTAGTTCGGTATTTTACACTTAAAGCCCTGTTTTAAGATCGTTTCTGATGAAATAGAACGGTTAAGATTGAAATTTGGACAAAAGCTGCTGTGCCGAGAATTTTAGGTTTGTGTGTTAGCACCCTCCACCTACACAATGGTTGTCTATGTGCACTGGAACAATCATTCATAAAACACATTAAACTTTAGTTTACTAAGACGTGAAACTCAACGAGGGGTCTGGGGTGTTCACTGATATGCTCACACAAAAATCACTGCAAAAGATGCTTTCCAACAGGTTTTATTGTAGTTTTTGCAAAAACAGTATTGCAGTAGACATACAATTTAAAAGAAAAGAAACGCAACAAATTAAATGTATTTTGCTATTACATTACATCTTCATACAAAAATAAAAACTTTTGCAACTAAAAAGTGCAAAATGCCAAGCTTTGGCCAGATTTCAAATAAATTTAATTTAAGTTTAAAATAAAACTTAAATAAACAGCTTTTCTATTTAGCTTTAAAGTGCTGTAATCATATCAAACAAACAATCATGCTAAATGAAGAACTTAACCACCAGTCAACCTGGTACTTCATACTCTTGTGGGGTGCGCACAGTCTTTACTCGGACGCACTCTTCAATCTATCGCCGATGAAATCACAAAATAAAATGCACATAAATGTGTCCCTGCTTGATATAGACTGTAACCACTGATGAACATATTCGGTTTTGATGAGAGAGAGGAAAAAACTATATGAGTGCAGATTATAACCTGCAACTTCTGACACGCTTGGCAAAAGATCTAGCTCTAGACCATTTAAGAACTCAAACAAAATATGCAGATCGATGGATTCATTTAGGGGTTGAGCAGAGCGGCTTCACAGTTTGACCAGCGGGCAGCGGCCGCACACCAGTCCGCCAGATGCTGTTGCTAAGAACTTACAATTTATCACTACTATCAGACCAGCCCTCACGGCCTCGAAACACTACGACTCTCCTGATTGCCACTCCGCCCCTGCACACCATTACAAAATATAATATGGTGGGCCGTTATCGGCGTTAACTTGCTGCGTTAAAGTGAGACTCTTATCGAGCAATAAAAAATATTGCCGTTAATCTATTCTCAAAGTTGGGTTGGGAGCTGGGTCTATACTATACAAGCTATGATGACTTTTACCTTGATATTTTTAGCGCAGATGTATACCTAGCCGAATTGCACTGTAAGGGGCATTTAATACCAATCTGTTTATCCAGACATTAGGAAAAGATCAGTCAATGCATTTTATATTTAATATGAGGGAAATACACATCTGTAACGGACGTGACACAAAAAAAAAAAAAAAAACCTTTAGGTGTACAAAAAGTAATAATACCCATCGGTTAAAGAAAGGTTGGCTCTCCACGGAACATAAAATATTAATTTTGTATTATTTTTTATGTACACATTTATGAGGGAAAAACAATGTTATGTGACAGTTCCCCGTTACGGACTTGACCACTCTGAAAGCGGCACTGAAAGACTGTTTTAAAACTTTCACATTAAACATAAAGCACAAAGCCTTTCATTAAGTTGAATTTCGTTTTGTATTATTTGTATGTTAATTTTAATCAACGTTTCATCAACCAATTGCCTGGATTTAATAAATAAGAAATAAATATAGCAGACAATAGATAATCACGACACGGAGGCGTCAGCGCGTGAACTGAAGCTCGTCTTGTGAGTCATAAATGAACCGAAACACAGTGGATAAGGCAGGCCAACTTGCCTCAGGAGTACAATGGGTGCCATGAGGTGCGACTGTATAATGTAGAGAATAATTATGAAAATGGAGAGAAAATATAAATCGGGTGCATTAAAAGGAAAAGAACGAGATAGTCTTTGTGTTTTATTAACATAAGCTTACTTGGCTCAACAAGTGACACTTTATTACATATGGTAGCAGAGAGCCCCGTGATGAAGAGTCTAGCTCCGCCTCTGCTCATCTTACAAACTACCTGCAAGGTTATTTATTTGGGTATCATACATATTCTGAATGCCTTCAATGCCTGAATGCCTTCATGAATTCAAATGAGCCATTTTAATCTATATTAATTCCAAGATTACAGTGAGATTAATCTAGATTTTAAAAAAAATCTATGCCCACCACTAAGGCATAAAAAAAAAAAAATGTTCAATTCCAGTCTCCGACCGACCCTGTCAATTTATGTGCGACCCAAATTTATTTTATGAGCTTGGGGAAGAAATAATACAAATTAAGTAAATACACAAATAAAACCTTTGAGGCAAACTAGAATTTATGTTTTTGTACAGCACCGTATTTGTATAGCCTGTTGTCTCCAGCAATGCTAACAAAAACGAGGCACCCACAGGCGTTAACACATCGTTGTTGTCATGTAGATGCACTGTTGCGCTTGTGACAGCATAAACTGAACCAGCAGAGAGAGAGAGAGAGAGAGAGAGAGAGAGAGAGAGAGAGAGAGAGAGAGAGAGTCTTGTGGGATGTCCAGACCGCCGGGATAATATCACAACGCGCATACGTCCGATAATGACACGTCCAATTCGCAAACTGACTCATTTGAACCGATTAATTTTAATGAATGGTTAAAGCAACTAATCTTCCCTACACTGAACTCACGAGACGTCTGAATCGGTGTATAACTAATCGATAACACTTTACAATAAGGCAACCCTGTTTGCCCCCCGCGCACACATTTAAAATCAGCTTGTGTGTGTGTAACATGCTGGGACACACAAAGTGGTAGTACATGTACAGGTAGGCTATGTTATTGAAAAAACAGAGTAGCCTATCCATCGCTACTGTAAAGTAAAAAAAAAAAAAAAAAAAATATTTTCCTATCTATCCCTTGCTGCCACTGGAGAAAAAAAACAAAAAAAACCTACCAACCCATGACCTCAACTGACATCCAACTGACATCCAACCGTAACCAAACTTTTTTTAAAAAATGTTATGCCTAATATATATATATATATATATATATATATGAATCTTTTTTTCTGGAATTCTATTAATCGATTTTCAATCAGTAAAGCTTGAATTGCGATAATGTGAATCAATTTTTGTGCACACCCCTAATATTAAGTGTCCCCAATTAAGAAAGACAGAGGCAACACTGGCAAGAACCTAAACTCTATCAGGTGACATAAATAGAGAAAATATCCTATAGATATAACAGCTTTACACAAATATTTTTTCAAACATGCTTCATTTTGTCTTGGAAATTTGTCACTGTATAAAAAACACTATTGTTGAGGAAATTGTAGTTTTTAAAGGTAAATGTTAGTTTAACTCGGCCTCTTTGCTGTATATGCTGTTTATGTAAAAAATAAGTGGAAAATTTAATTAATATTAGTATATAGAAAATGTATTGTATGTGTTCAATCTAATTCTGTGTTGTGACTTTATTGTAGGTTAAATAATTGTAACTTAACAGACAAAAGCTGTTCATCTCTGGCTGCAGTTCTTGGATCAGATACCAATCTGAAAGAGCTGAACATGAACAATAATAAACTGCAGGATTCAGGAGTGAAGCTGCTCTGCACTGGACTGAAGAATATAAAGTGTAAATTGGAGATACTGAGGTAAGTTGAGCCACAGGAGTCACATGACTAGAGTGAGGTGCGATGACTGACAGGGCGATATCGGAGGCAAAAGCGCAAGATAACTTTTGTGAAAAAGATCTTTTATTTATTTGTTACAACGTGGGTATACCATATTAATCCTGTCATTGTGCTATTTTATTGTTGTTGTGTATAAAGGATTATTATGCTCTTAGGGCTAATTAATACCCGGTGGCAACCACCAAAGATTGTCTGATCAGAACAGTAAAGGATGTCCGTTTAGGAGGAGCCAGATGCACACACCACTCACAGACCACCAGGGCTGGATTAACCATTAAGGCAACTGGGCTCTTGCCTCAGGGGCCCATGACATCTAAGGGGCCCTGGGCACCAGGGGCGGAGTGGCAATCGGGAGAATCGGGAATTTCCCCTGTGGGCCGGTTGTGTTTCGAGGCCGCGAGGGCCGATCTGATCAAATTTATTTATTGCAAGTTGGCCATGCGCACTTGTGGCCCAAGCGAGGGGAAGAATTTTTTTTTACTTTTTAGATAACGGAGCGTATATTTGCACTAAGTGCCTTTTTAGCAAAAGAAGCTTGTCACGAAATAGCTACGGTGGCGCAGGTCGTAGGGCTTGAAGCTTTTGATGCTCTCGACCCGAGTTCGAAACCGTCTTTAACTGAACTCTCTCTTCTCCCTTTTCCCAACACATATGAGATGTAAAATGTATACCCTAACATAAAGGTCTCTAGCGCTATATTTTGCCAACAAACTAAAATCGAAACCATGATATGGCTTTGTGCCTTTATAAAACAGCACAAGCCTTTAAAGGGTTAGTTCACCCAAAAATGAAAATTAAGTCTTTAATTACTCACCCCCATCCTGTACCAACCCTGTAAGACCTTCGTTCATCTTCGGAACACAAATAAAGATATTTTTGATTAAATCTGAGAGCTGGATCACTCCTTCATAGACTGCCTAAGGGACTGGCTCTTGACGGCCCATAAAGTCATTAAAGTTTCAATTATAAGTTTATCAAGCGACGAGACTACTTTTTCTGCGAAAAAAACATGAATAACGACTTTATTCGACTATTCCAATACTTCCTTATGGGCGCATGCACGAGAACTGAGATGAGGACGTTCTCCTTCGACTACTTCTTGTTACCGGCTGCTCACGCCCCCACCAGGGGAGAAAAGACTGCCTCCTTGTCATTTATGACTTATAACAAAAAACAAAACAATGTTTAAAAGCTGTTGTGAGACAAGGAGTACAGCAAACAAGCCAAATAACCCAGAAATTGTTTTTTTTAAGCTGATGGCTACTACTCTGAGAAGCACGCCCATAATTCATAATTTAACCTGAATCTATTTTATCTGAAATTCTGTACGTTGATTTATTTTATTTTTTTGTATCTGAATTTGTGAGCATTGAAAAATATTCATCGAAATTCAGGTTTTTAAAATGGAAATTTTCATAGGCCTGTTTAAAGGTGCAGTGTGGGATTTTTAGCGACATCTAGCGGTTCGGTTGCGAGTTTGGACCAGGTTTGCACTAAGCGCTCAGCCCACTGTTCACCCCTCCCTTTCGAAGAAGCCATTGTTTCTGTACCACAGTCCATTATAAACCACATCATGGATACAGTTTACAAAGCCATAGTCAGGTGAGGATCAAGGGTTTTAATATATAATTTAATATAATAATAGTGATCAGCTGATTGTCTCACAAACGTAACCAGCAGCACATTTCTCCCCACATAGCAAACCCATAATACAGCGAGGGAGAAGAACCACATGAAACTATGCAGCTATATTTTTCTAACAGGGTAGTAAAAGTTTAGCTGGCTAATTTGAGCTGTTACTGTGGCTGAACTGGTTAAAGCATAAAGCCTTGTTTACACTCGACGCGTCCGCATGAGCCCAAAGGTGCGCACGGCAAAAATGACATGATTGTAACAGCGTGCGCATTTCCGCATCCCATAGACACCATAAACTACACACAATAGGCTTTTTCTCTGATTTTGAAAACTCTTCGCGATCGACTTAGATCTCTTAGTCGGGTTAGTGATTCCTGTAACATACTGTTTTACGGTCAATGACATGAGTACTAATCAGCTGTCTTACGAACATAACAGCACATTTATCCCCACATAACAAACCCATAACACAGCGAGGGAGAACTAAGTTACATGAAACAATCCCAACTACATATTTTACACTACTCACAAGGGAAAAGTCACTACTCAGAGTTTATGGCTAGTTTCTAGCTTTCTGCTGCTTCTCTTTCAAGGTAGTGGCGAAACGCGTTCTGTAGCACTGTTTGTTCGCGTTCGGCTACGGTAGAAAGATGACGTCACAATATGGCGACCTTCATAGGAGGGGATTCCCGCGGTTATGGAGATATAAATGTCTCATTCTAAGGTAATAAAAACATTACAGTTTATTAGGTAAGTTCTTTATACACCACTGAAAACATAGTTATGGATGTCATATTGCATTTCTGTTACAGTTTTACAAGTTTTCTAGTTTTACAATTAGCAATCAGAGCTTTAGCATAAAATACCAAAACCGAAGAGAGGATGCAGCATAGATTTTTACTGTAACAGCATAAACATTTTTTTCTGTTGTTTTGTATGTAGACCACTGTATGTGCAACTTTGTGTTGGTTGGGGTGTATGAAATGTGCGATCTATTTCCCATTGTTTTTGTGGGAAAAATACAGTAAAATATATTTGTTACCGTGTATTTCTGGGTATAAAAAACAAGATTCTCAAATATTTTACAACACGCTTATGTATGCAATGTCTGTAGTAAGTGTAACCCTGAACAAAAAAGGCCCAAGTCATTATGATGAATGGAGAAGAAGTGTTTTACACTGATCATAGTGTTTTACATTGAGCACATCAGTGTTCAACTAGTTCTTATAAATGTCAATTCATATAATGGTTTGTGTGTCATTTGAAAACAAAATAACATTTTGAGAATATATAACATTATTTTGAATGTAAAGTTTCATTTTGCACTAGAATTGAGGGGTTTTGCCGATTGTGTGAGTGTTTTTAGATTTGTGTGTAGAGTTCTGAGAGTATGAGGCATACTTGCAGGAAATGTGTGTAAACAATCGAGAAAAACTGTAATAGATACTCAACTTTTTGACATTGCAATCGTTAGTGTGTGTGTGTGTGTGTGCGTGTGTGTGTGTGTGTGTGTGAGAGAGAGAGTGTGTGTGTTAGTGTGAGAGAGTGTGTTAGTGTGTGTGTGTGAGAGAGAGAGAGGAGAGTGTGTTAGTGTGTGTGTGAGAGAGAGAGAGAGAGAGACTGTTTTTGACACTTAAAGCAATTTATTCCATCATTAAAGTTAAAAAAATAAATAAATTTAGTATTCCGTCATAGTGACTATAACAAACAATTCTGTCTCAGTGTATAACAGCTGTTTTACTATCAATGCCAACGGCGAGAGAATTTAGTTTTGCTGTGGACAAATCAAAATTTGAGAATATTTGAGAAAATATTTGAACATACAAAAACAGTTTGTATGTTCTTTTCTAAAGGACATAGATCTGATAAAAAACAGGACATTTTTATTTCAGGAGAAAGAGTACAAGTTGTTTTAGAATGTAAATATCTAGGGGTACATCTGGACTCCTATCTTGGTTTTAAAACTCACGTAAAAAAAGTTTGCAAAAAGATTAAATTTTACTTGGTTAATTTTAGGTTCATTAGAAATTGTTTATCAAATCAGGCAGCAAAGATATATTTCCATTCTATGATTCTTTCTCATGTCACATATTGTTTGACAAGCTGGTCAAACACACATTTGATAGTCCTAAAACCATTAGAATCATTATACAAACAAGCACTAAAAATTTTAGATAAAAAAGAATTTAGTTTTCATCACTGTCACATTTTAAATAAGTATAATCTGTTTAACTGGGAAAATCTTATCAAATTTAAAAATGTTTGTTTAGTTTATAGGATTATGCATGGTTTGGCTCCACCTCCTTTGGCAGATTTTATTAAATCTAAATCTGTTGAAAACAGAATTACAAGAGGTGCAATTAGAGCGGATTGTATAATTCCACGTAGGAAAACATCGTTCGGTCAAGCTGTTTTCTCATACAAAGCTTCACATCAGTGGAATACAGTACCTCAACCAATTAGAGAGTGCTCATCATTTAACTCTTTTAAGCTTAATTTTAAGAAATGGCTTCTACATAACCAACACTGTGAACATTAACGCTGCTCCTCTATTATTATTATTATTATTATTACTAACCTTATTATTAATTTTATTATAGACCTATTCTTTCATACTTAATTAAATTATATTTAGTTTTTTTTTTTTTTTTTAATTGTATATCCAAAATTGTATATGTCTGTATATATATATGCAGTGTCTTTTTGTATACTTCTAGTTTTATGACTGTTGTATTGCTGTAATTTTTAACTCTTTTTTTTCTAGTTAAGAGCCTAATAACATCTGGCAAAGGGACTACCAATGAAAACTAGCCTTTGGGCTAATTTGGGTACATTTACATTTAAGAATGTTTATTAATGTACACTGTCCCTTTTCTAAATAAATAAATAAATAAAAAAATTAAGTCTCATAAGCCACTTGAGTAAAGGCTCGTGTGTTTTGTGTCTTAATCAATCTTTCCCACACACATATAAATTATAACTCGTACTCATCGCTCTGTCCATTTCAGCAAATGAGATTTTGTGAAGGCCTCTCCTGTTGCTTTGGTGCTTTTCAACATGCGCTTGCACCCCCTGCTGGTAAAGCCGTCTAACAGCAGATAGAGAGTATGCTCAGTAATCTACTGCTTTTCCTGCAGTTTCTGGATGTCACCGTTGAATTTACTGTCGAATTTGAACCACTGAATTTGTGTAAGCGAATTTTCAAGGCGAAATAAAATGGACCGAAAATTGCCTGTTGAATATTATAGGTTGTATTTTTAAACAGTTTGAAAATTTTGGAAGTGAAATATGAAAGGTGAATATGGATTATTGAATTTTTAATAATGAAAAATGTTTTTAATTGAAATATTCACAGCTTAAATATTCAGCCATGTTCAATTTCAGCCCATAAAAATGTAAGCCTTAAAAATACAATGGATTAAAATGCAAGCAGGGTTAACACAATGCTTTTTTTTAATTGGTGCAGTTCAACATGCTTTTTGTTTCAAAAACATTAGACATTATTTTACTTCCATACACTTCCACCTCACATTCAGCCAATCACACGCTCCGAAAGCACACTTCCACCTTACATTCAGCCAATCACACGCTCCGAAAGCACACTTCTACCTCAGATATTGTATATCATGCATACAAGAATCAAAAGTTTAAACTAAAACACTCAATATTCATTTATTCACTCAATATATCAGTATATATTTATACGCAATATCTCACAGAGTCTAATTTCACAATAAATTTCTACAAACATTTTCACTTTAGTATTTTGTGATCTGATGAAGATGAAGATCTCTCTTCCTCTTTCTGTTTTATTTGCTGATGAAGATGATGTGACTTTATAGAATAAAGAGTCTCTTATTTTCTTCATTCTCTCTCTCTCTCTCTCTCTCTCTCTGCTAATGTAGGTTAAGCTGCTGTTATATGACAGATGAAGGTTGTTCTGATGTGACTTCAGCTCTGAAATCAAACCCGTCACACCTGAGAGAGCTGGACCTGAGCGGGAATAAACTAGGAGACTCTGGAGTGAAAAACCTCAGTGATCTACTGATGAACCCACAATTCAAGCCGGAGAAACTACAGTTAGTGTCATTATACTGTACAGCAATTACAGTGTGACTGAAGTTTATTTATTTGAAGACAGCAGGGCGTTTCATTGGTTATAGCAGTTCACTTTCTGGGTTTCCCTATTGCTCACATTTTTATGTTTTGTTGATCTACACTGTGTGTAATTATTCTGTGGCTTAGTAAATATCACAGTAATATTTAACTTTATTAACTTAATAAAATCTCTGAATATCATTTGCTTGATTGTTTGAGCTAAACGTCCCAAAATAATTGACTAAAAATCCAACAGTTAATTTCATCTAAAAAATGTACAGTTATATTTATTTATTTTTTTCACTATTAGAATTTATTATTTGACTAACCAATAATTTATGTATAATACACTTAACATAATTGTGAAATTTCTATCAAAATATTTGAGATTGGAGAATTAAACTTATTTGTTTCAAGAACCACAAATATTACGTAATTCAAATCAATATCATAAATATATTTAACACACTCTTGAAAGATTGAGCAGATTTAATCAGTTAAAAATTTAACAAATTTTATTTGTTAATGTACAGATGCAGTTACTCAGATACTTAATTTTTTACTTACATTTGCTCAGTTTATACAGTGTATTGTAATTGATTTCAATGCTTTAAAATGTAATCAATATTTTTAATTGTTTCACCAAAATAAATTAGTAGATCATATAAAACCTTTTAGAGTGTAGATAGTAATTGTTTAATTCCCAACATCTGATACAATGTACTGATTGTGTAGACACAGAAATCTGCATTTTCAACAGAGAATAAAGAAGAGAGACGTCAAATAAATAGTTAGAAATGAAAGAGAAGAAACAGTGTCTTCCAGCGCACAGAACTAGTGTGACTGGGTTTTAAAACAGACTATTGGAAACTAAATGCTGCTGTAGCGCTTCAATAAGATGATCATCATAGATGTGAACTATTGTTATTTCTCTGTCTTCAGTCTGAGTGATTGCAGTATTACAGAGAAACAGAGTCTCATCCTGACTTCAGCTCTGAAATCAAACCCGTCACACCTGAGAGAGCTGGACCTGAGCTGGAATTATCTAGGAAACTCAGGAGTGAAGCACTTATGTGCCGTACTGAAGGATTCACACTGTAAACTGGAGAGATTGAGGTCAGTCACATTCACACACAAGAATCAAAATGCTTAAAATCACTTCAACTGTTTAAACTAGAACACATTAACATTATATTTGTACAAACATTTTCACCTTAGTATTTTGTGATCTGGTGAAATAAAGGTGAAGATCTCTCTTCCTCTTTCTGTTTTATTTGCTGATGAAGATGATGTGACTTTACAGAATAAAGAGTCTCTTATTTTCTTCATTCTCTCTCTCTCTCTCTCTCTCTCTCTCTCTCTCTCTCTCTCTCCTTCTCTCTCTCTCTCTCTGCTAATGTAGGTTAAGCTGCTGTTATATGACAGATGAAGGTTGTTCTGATGTGACTTCAGCTCTGAAATCAAACCCGTCACACCTGAGAGAGCTGGACCTGAGCGAGAATAATCTAGGAGACTCTGGAGTGAAAAACCTCAGTGATCTACTGATGAACCCACAATTCAAGCTGGAGAAACTACAGTTAGTGTCATTATACTGTACAGCAATTACAGTGTGACTGAAGTTTATTTATTTGAAGACAGCAGGGCTTATGTTTCATTGGTTATAGCAGTGCACTTTCTGGGTTTACCTATTGCTCACATTTTTATGTTTTGTTAATCTACACTGTGTGTAATTATTCTGTGGCTTAGTAAATATCACAGTGATATTTAACTTTATTAACTTAATAAAATCTCTGAATATCATTTGCTTGATTGTTTGAGCTAAACGTCCCAAAATAATTGACTAAAAATCCAACAGTTAATTTCATCTAAAATTTACAGTTATATTTATTTATTTTTTTTCACTATTAGAATTTATTATTTGACTAACCAATAATTGATGTATAATAAACTTAACATAATTGTGAAATTTCTATCAAAATATTTGAGATTGGAGAATTAAACTTATATGTTTCAAGAACCACAAATATTACTTAATTCAAATCAATATCATAAATATATTTAACAAACTCTTGAGAGATTGAGCAGATTTACTCAGTTAAAACAATTTTATTTGTTAATGTACAGATGCAGTTACTCAGATCTACTCAATTTTTTACTTACATTTGCTCAGTTTATACAGTGTATTGTAATTGATTTCACTGCTTTAAAATGTAATCAATATTTTTGATTGTTTCACCAAAATAAATTAGTAAATCATATAAAACCTTTTAGAGTGTAGATAGTAATTGTTTAATTCCCAACATCTGATACAATGCACTGATTGTGTACACACAGAAATCTGCCTTTACAACAGAGAATAAAGAAGAGAGACGTCAAATAAATAGTTAGAAATGAAAGAGAAGAAACAGTGTCTTCCAGCGCACAGAACTAGTGTGACTGGGTTTTAAAACAAACTATTGGAAACTAAATGCTGCTGCAGCTCTTCAATAAGATGATCATCATAGATGTGAACTATTGTTATTTCTCTGTCTTCAGTCTGAGTGACTGCAGTATTACAGAGAAACAGAGTCTCATCCTGACTTCAGCTCTGAAATCAAACCCGTCACACCTGAGAGAGCTGGACCTGAGCGGGAATAATCTAGGAAACACAGGAGTGAAGCACTTATGTGCCGTACTGAAGGATTCACACTGTAAACTGGAGAGATTGAGGTCAGTCACATTCACGTACAAGAATCAAAATGCTTAAAATCACTTCAACTGTTTAAACTAAAACACATTAACATTATATTTGTACAAACATTTTCACCTTAGTATTTTGTGATCTGGTGAAATAAAGGTGAAGATCTCTCTTCCTCTTTCTGTTTTATTTGCTGATGAAGATGTGACTTTACAGAATAAAGAGTCTCTTATTTTCTTCATTCTCTCTCTCTCTCTCTCTCTCTCTCTCTCTCTCTCTCTCTCTCTCTCTCTCTCTCTTGCTTTGCATGCTGGGGGTTTGGGCTATGGGAGCAACAAACGGGTGAGAAGAGCGATTTGTTTTTTTCCGCTTTTTTTCTAGTTTCTATTTGTTTTTGTTTTTTTGTGGTTTTCTATTTTTCTTCTTTTATGTTTTTTTTTCTCTTGTTTTGTGCATAGATTGGTAAACTTAATCTTCAAGTATCATACACGCTTCTGTTGTTGAGGGTTTTCGGCTTCGTGGCGGAGGCCTGAGATGGAGGCTCACCCGAGTGGGGGTGTAGCCTCACTCTCGCTCCGCCATGGGGTCAGGTGTGTACCTGACGCGGACTCTAATGTGGAAGACGTGCTTGTCGCTGTTGGTGAACAGATTGGATTTGACAATATAATTTCAGCGTCAAGGATGAATAAAGCAGTGGTGGTTTTCCTTAAAGAGGAAAGTTTGGTGAGTAAACTAATTGAAACCAGCGTTTGGGTAAATGGAGCGTTTACTGTTGTGTCTCCGCTTGTGTCGCAATCTGTTAGAGTAACGATCTCTAATGTGCCGCCGTTTATATTAAACAGTGACATTGAAAAGGAGTTGTTGAGGTTTGGAAAAATGGCCAGTGAAGTGAAAATGATTCCGTTGAGATGTAAGAATGAAGCACTGAAACACGTTCTGTCGTTTAGGCGTCAGGTGTTTATGTTTCTTGATCAACAAACGCTGGACATTTCTTTCCGAATCAAACATGAGGGGAAATCTTACATGATTTACGCGAGCACCGGCAACATGAAATGTTTTGAATGCGGAGACGTTGGACATAAAAAGATCGCTTGCCCACATAACAAAACGCAGCTAGAAAATAATGTAGCAACTGATATTGAAGTTATTTCTAGCGTACAGATTGGTGAAAATGTAGAGGCCAGCGAGGAACCAAACAAAACAAAAATTGATGAGAATAAAGAAAACAAAAATGCAGATGAAGGAACAAGTAAGCAGAGGAAAAGAAACTCAACTGTCAGTGGAGTTGTTTCTGAAAAGAGAGACAATCCATGTGTAGATATTAATGATGGTGATCATGAAGATGAAGAGAGTCTTCGTTCTAAATTACCAAAGGTTGCTATTAATGATGCACAGAATACTGGGCAGATTTGTTTGTCCCAGTTAACTGATGCTGAGGAGCAAGATGACATGGAAGATGATGATAGGTTTTCAGAGGCATCTGATATTCTTTCTCAATTCAGTGAAGACCAACTGTACACTGTAACTGCACAGTAAATTCCCTGGTGTTAAATTAACACCGCTCGGTGTTTATATGGGAACCACCAGCAGGGTGTTAAAAGTAACACTGAGGCAGTGTTAGAGTTAATGAGATAATTAAGTGATTAATTGAGTGATGATTGAGCATTATTGAAGACACCTAAAGCAGAATTACAAGGAGAAAACCTAACTTTCAGGTCACCGTTATGGAGGTGAGTGTTTGCTTTAGTTGGGCTCTTGACCCTTTTATTATTAACTTTACATTTTAATTGGCTGTTGCATCTGAGTTATACCTGCCAGATGAACAAAGAGACAATTTATATGATGGTGTTGGTCATATTATGACATTCATTTGAAATATATGTTTGTGGTTAATTTTGTAGGTCACAACATAACTGAGATTCTACATAATTATCCAGAATGTCAGATATAATATAATGGATTTCTACAAGTTGTTAAAAAAAAAAAACTTCTTATAGGCACACATAAACCTCAAAATTCAGTCAATGCTTCTCAACAATGGTGACGAGCAGAATATTCAATTAGGAAAAGTAAATTACATAGATGACAATTCAGATCATAATTTATTCATACCGCAATGCATGATGGGAGCCATTAATGAGTTGTGATTGGTGGAAACAAGGATTATTAATGTCACCATGGTTGAGATTCACAGGCTGACTATTTATGTCTGTGTTTCTAAATAAAGATGAAAGTGATTTGATCAGAATAGTTGTTATTAAATATTTTCGGTTAAAAGAAAAATACGGATATGTTGCACAATCACTAAACTGTTACTAACAAGTTAAGGCAATTCATCTGAAAAGTTAGATTTTTCAGAGCACAGCATGATTATGTCAAAACATAACCAACAATGTCAGATCACAGTTTTCCTCGTTCATTTGACTGTTATAAATTAATAAAAGCAGACAAAGTTAAAGTGAAAATATAAGTGTCAAGAGCCCAACTAAAGCAAACACTGATCTCCATAACGGTGGCTTACAATTTGTGATTTTGTCCTTCAGTGATTCTGCTTGTTAACATCAGGTGTCTTCAATAATGCTCAATCATCACTCAATTATTCACTTAATTATCTCATTAACTTTAACACTGTATCAGTGTTACTTTTAACACCCTGCTGGTGGTTCCCATATAAACACCGAGCGGTGTTAAATTTAACACCGGGGAATTTACTGTGTGAGGTCAATGATTTCCTGGATGCGACCTTTGGGAAAACAATAGAGATAAGTGAATTTTTTCCTGATGCAAAAAAATTCTTGCAATCAGCTGTGAAAATTCAACAAACAGCCAGTTATGATGAATTGAGTAGAAGAAAAAGATTTAGATTGAAAAAAATTGTTACTAAATTGAGAAGAAAGATGTCCCTTGAAAAAGGTCTAACGTCGCCTTAATGATGAAATCACTTGGGGTGTTTTCTCTGTTTTTTTCTTTGCTAACCCTTCTTTTTTTCTTTCTTGATCTTTCTTATCTATTGATGGGAGGTATTAAGATGGGAACAATTAATATTAATGGAGGAAGGGATGGTGGCAGAAGAGCAGTGTTGAAAGAATATATTGAAAATAAGGATATGGATATAATTTTCTTACAAGAGACACATAGTGACATAGCTAATGAGACAGAATGGAAAAAGTGGTGGGGAGGCCATATTTTCTTAATTCATGGCACTAATACTAAGGGTGGTGTTGCTATTTTGTTTTCTAAGAAGATTGATATAACCTTTGAATCAAGTGATGAAATAGAGAAGGGTCGTATTTTGGCTGTTCATGCTAAGTTGATGGGGTTTTCATTTGTCTTTGTTAATGTCTATGCACCTAATAATGGTGCAGAAAGGATAAAGGTGTTTAAGAATTGCCAAAATATAATGGGGAATTATGATCAAAGTGCTTGTGTAGTTTTGGGTGGAGACTGGAATTGTACATCAAATTTTATTTTGGACCGGAATGGAGAGGAACCACACCCTCTTTCTGCTACCTGTTTAAATGATATGATAAACAATTTGGATTTATGTGATGTTTGGAGATTACAACATCCGGTAGATAAACAATATACTTGGACCAAGTCTTCAGCTGACCACATTAGTTTTGCCAGATTAGATCGTTTTTATATTAATAGAGATTGGTGTAATAGAATTTTAAAGGCCTGTATTTGCCCCAGTGGTTTTTCAGATCATCATTTATGTATGATTGTTTTTAACTTACAAAAGACAAGATGTCATAGTTATTATTGGCATTTTAATGTTAAATTGTTGCAAGATGCTCTATTTTGTGAAAAATTTCATCTTTTTTGGGGAAAATGGAGAGAACGAAAAACTGATTTTGATGATGTTGTGCATTGGTGGGATGTAGGAAAGGCACACATCAGGATTTTTTGTCAAAATTATACAGCTAATGCAAGTCATTGTTTTAAAAAATCTGTTGTAGAATTGGAGAATGAAATCAAATCAATTGAAAGAAGTCTATTTAACCAAAATGGTGAATCATCTGAAAGATTGAATGAAAAAAAGAAAGCTTTGGCCTCACTTTTTCATGAGCGAGCTAAAGGAGCGCTAATACGAGCTCGTTTCCTCTCTCTGAGAGAGATGGATGCGCCAAGCTCTTTCTTTTTTAGTTTTGAGAAACGAGAAGGAGCGCGGAAGTCAATGCTACACCTAAAGAAATCAGATGGAACTGTGACAACTAATCCTAAAGAAATGAGAACAATGGCTATTGATTTCTATACAGAGCTTTTTTCGGATGGTCCATGTGACATTGGTTGTATGGAGGACCTTTTTAAAGAGTTACCAAAGTTGACTGATGCGCAGAGGAATCAAATGGACTTTGAAATAGACATTGATGAAATAACACAGGCTGTTAATCAGCTATCCAGTGGACGTGCGCCGGGAATCGATGGACTTCCGTCTGAAATTTTTCCGTCAACAGTTTTGGGACTTATTAAAGGATGATTTGTTTGATGTTTTTAAATCATCTTATAAGAGAAAAGAATTGCCAACAAGCTGTAAAAGAGCCGTATTGTCATTGTTACCAAAGAAAGGTGATCTGGGTCTTTTAAAGAACTGGAGACCAGTGGCAATTTTGTGTACTGACTATAAAATTTTAGCGAAATGTCTTTCAAATAGATTGAAAATGTATTTAGAACATATAGTAAATGATTATCAATCTTGTTGTATTCCTAACAGAACTATAATGGATTACATTTTTCTTGTTCGTGATGTCATTGATATTGCAAAAAGAGGTGGTGATAACATTGGAATAATTGCAATTGATCAAGAAAAGGCATTTGATCGAGTCAGTCACTTTTATTTGTTTAGTTCCCTTAAAGCTTTTGGCTTTGGTGATCTTTTTATTTCATTGATCAAACTGCTGTACTCTGATGTATCTACAATGTTGAAGGTTGGAGGAGGGTTAAGCCAACCAGTGTCAGTACGCAGAGGTATTCGACAAGGTTGCCCTTTGTCAGGGATGTTATATTCCTTAGCCATTGAACCTTTGCTTCGTCAATTGGGAAAAAAATTTGATGGCTTGTTAATTGAAAATCAAAAAGTTAAGCCTAGGTTTTCTGCCTATGCTGACGACATTACCGTGTTTATCAAAAACAAAAGAGATGTGATTGTTTTAGAAGATGTCTTAAAGAAATATGAAAATGCCTCTTTAGCAAAGGTAAACTGGGAAAAAAGTAAAGGTTTTATTTTGGGGAACTGGTCTGAAGAAGAGCCACCAGTCTTACCAGGAGGTGTGAAATGGGGTAAAGAAGGCCTGAAAATATTAGGTATTTATTTAGGAAGTGACAATTATATTAAGAAGAACTGGGAAGGAATGTATGATAAAATGTGTGAGCGGCTGTCTCGGTGGACATGGATCCTTCCTCAGCTGTCGTTCAGGGGAAGAGTCTTGGTCGCAAACAATCTGGCGGCCTCAGCACTCTGGCATAAACTAAATGTGTTGAATCCACCTGATGAAGTAGTTCAGTTATTACAAAAGAAAATAAATGATTTCTTTTGGTCTGGTCAGCACTGGGTAAAATCTGCTGTTTTATATTTACCAGCCAGTGAAGGTGGACAAGGCTTGGTTGATATCAAAAGCAGAATCAAGGCTTTCAGACTGCAGACAGCACAGAAGTTGCTGTACTCTGGACAGATCTGTTGGACTGACACAGCTTGCTCCTTATTACGCAGTATGAACATGTTTAAATATGATTTTAATTTGTTTTTAATCAGTCTGAAAGATATAGAATTGACTGATTCTTCTCCGTTTTATAAAGCAGTTTTGAAAAGTGTGGAAGTCTGTCTTTCAAGTAAGGCGAGATTCAAACCTTGAGGTTGGATAGGAAATGAACCACTCTTTAACAATCCCCTAATACAAGCAGACGTGCTAAAACTGAGAAGTTTGCAAACATCAATGGCGAGAGCAGAGTGCACATGTTTGTCTAATTTAAGGAATGGAAACAAGTGGAGAAGTCCTCAAGAACTGTGTAGTTTGATGGGCATTACTTCTGTGAGATTTATGGAGAAGTAATGAAAGATATTTTTTCAGCTCTTCCTTCTACTTACAGACAAAGTATAAATTGCTGTGGTGAACAAGAGGGTGAAATGACAGAGAGTTTTCCAAAACTTCAGGTGTCAATGATAATAGATGAAACCCCGCGAAAAAGAATCATTCTTGTTTTCGGTATACCCGAACTGAATTTGTTCGAAGACATTTCAAGAAAGCCTTGTACTTATCATGTGTGAAAGTCACTCATCAATCTGAGCTGAAGAACTGTAGAGAATCGAGATGGCTGGAGGAGTTTGGCCAGGACTCATCTCCGAGGAGATGTTGGAGGTCCTTTTATAAATCACCGATAGAGAAACGCACCGCAGATCTCCAATGGAGGATTGTGCATTCTGCAATTGCAACTATAGAGATATCTGGATACGTGTTGATCCCACTGTGGGGAAGGAGTGTGTTTTTTTGTGGTCAAGAAGAAACTTTAAAGCATCTGTTTTTTAGATTGTTCTAGGCTTAAAGGCCTGTTTCAGATTTTTAAAGAGTTGGCTTAGAAAACTTGGAGAAGATATAGATGAGAAAATGTTTGTATTTGGCCCAAAATATGTTGCAGCAGAAAGAAAAGAATTTCTCTAATTAATTTTTTAATTGTGAAGCTAAGTTGGCAATATGGATTACAAGGAAATATAAGCGGAAAGAGAGGGGAACGACTGAACCTGAACTTATTTTAAAGGCTTTCGTATCTGCAAGGATTAAAGCAGAATTTGCTTTTTTTAAATTACA